AATAAGAGAAGTAAAATTTAAAAATTATTTCAAAAACTACTTTGAAATAGAAATCTGTAACATCATGCCAATTTTTTTTAAAAAAACAACACCCATGAGTTAAAGTATTTAGAGGAAAGAAGCGTATTTTTTTAAAGTTCTGGAGTCTAAGAATCCAAACTCAAGGCACCTACAGGACTGTACTCTGTGTATAGATACAGGCTCAATGAAAAGATCCTTACGTCTTTAAACATCTGGGTCCTGGATATTCCTTGGCATCCACTAGCCTATAGAAGATTCTTTCTCATGGTGATATGGTATCTGCTTCCATTGTGTGTGTCTCTATGTCTGTTCTGCTACTTTTATAAGACATTGTTCCAAGCTCCTTGGAAGCGAGGATAGAAAGGCTTCCTCTCAAATACATTGCTAGGAAACACTATTACATGGAGAAGGACTTTATGCTTGGAAAAGTGGAAAATGAGAAGAGAGAGGAAGATCCTCAACTAGATGGACTGACACAGTAACTACAGCATTGGGCTTGAGTATGTCAGAAATAATGATGTTGGCACAGGATAGGATAGGATTCAGATCAGTTGTTCATGAGTCACTATGAGTCATACTAATCTTGATGGCACCTAACAACAACACTTAGAAATTACTAGATTTAGAATCCATTCTTTTCAACTATGACTTGAGTAACACAAAAAAGAAAACCCCTATTTCCTAAAAGCTTTTATTTACAGGTGATAGGCAGAGGACACAATTAAATTGATAGCATAATTTTAGTAAAGAAAAGCCCAGCAAGATTATATACTTGAACCAATGTTATAATCCACTGGACCTATAGTAATGTGACATGCTTCTGTGTCTTTGTACATCTTGTCTCCCCTCAAACTGGAAAGGAATTTTAGGTCATCTCTCCTTCTTCTTAATCATCTTGATGTACATAAAAAGCTTATTTTAATCATTTCAGTTTCTTTCTCCCAAAGCTTTCTCTAATTTCTTCACTTGAGTTATCACTCTCCTAAATCTAAACTCTTTATGCTAGTGTGTTTTTGTTAATGTGTTTGATATATTGCACTGCAATTTATTTCTTCTCTGAAGAGACTGGGAGCAGGAAATGGGCTTTATTCTTATGTCTATCCTGTGATATTCTTTTATTCGTGGTGTTCAAAATTGGAGAAAATGACATATCTTCCCTTCCTTAGAACCAAGGACCACAAAGCTTGATTGATACAAGCTGACAAGAAAAGGAAATACTTATGTCCTCATTTCCAGTAACAATCTGATTTATGCTTATCTTTCTGATGTAATTGTCAGTACCTTCCTGACATGCTCCTAAGCATTCCTGGTAGGATGACTGTAAAAAGAGCAAGGGCTGCATGGGGACATCCACATTTGAAGCCTACCAATTCAACAATGGGAAAATGTCTCCGGTTTTCGCACCCACAACACAAAATCAATTCTCCGGAGGTCAGGCCCATCCCCCATGCTCTAGCACCTCTTTGTACTTATCACAATACCAATCTTAATAATTCACTGGGTCCAGAAGCCATTGCATTAGCTCACAGGCCACACAGAACCGTAATGTTGTTGTTGTTGTTAAGTGTTGTTAAGTTATAGGCAACTCATAACGACCCTATGAACGAAAGACTTAGACACCTGTATAACTTTCATCTTTTCTCCAGGTCCCTAGGGTTTCTAGAGGCAAGGCATTATGGGAGAGGATGCCACTCCTGCTTCCAAGCTTGTTTTAATCGGGGAGCTCCACTAAACACTGTCCACCATGGGTAACCATTCTCGCATTTGACTTATCGGTGTCACAGTGTTCAGCTTCACAGCAACCACGAGTTACCTCTATACAGCAAGTGGACATAACAGGGTTATATGACCTATTTTCTTGATGTTGAGATGTAATTCATATTGAGGGCTGTATTCTTTGATCTGCTGCAGCGAGTACCTCAAGTACTCCTCACTTTCAGCAAACAAGGTGGTACGATCTGCATAAAGTAGATTATTGATGAGTTTCTAACATAGAAAGCTCTGGGGAAAAATATATTTGCTGTTGTTGTTAGGTGCCACCAAGTCACCTATGACTCATAGCGACCCTATGTACAACAGCTCTGAAGTCTACCCTGTCATGAGTCAGCCTCACTGATTCTGACATATCTACCCCCATTGACCATGTTACTGTATCAATTCATGTCTTCCTCTGCTGCCCTGTCCCCCCACCTTCCAAAGCATAATGTCTTCTCTAAGGACCAGACCCAAATCTTAAAAATTCTAGCCTTCACCAAGTAACTTGGCTTCACCCTCTCCAAGACAGACTTATTTGTTCACGTGGAGGTCCATGGCA